GAATGAGAAAATACATGAAAAGGATATAAAAAGAGTTACACTCAGCCCTAAGCAGTTACACCAAGCCTACATGTAATATTTGTAAGGAATGAAGCTAGAGAGAGAGAGAGAGAGAGAGAGAGAGAGAGAGAGAGAGAGAGAGAGAGAGAGAACTTTAGAAATACCTTTTACTACCCATACGACCAAGAAAGTGAATCAATTTTAAACCTAACTTGGGCAACTTACTGAAAATTAAAAAAAAAAAAAGAAGGCTGGAAAAGTAACTCAGTAATCAGCACTTGCCTAGCATGTGTCAGCCCATGGGTTAATCCTTGCTACTATATTTTTTGAAAAAAATCTATGATAAATATTGAATGCTTGAGTAAACACTTCCCCACAGGTGAAGGTACTTGTTAGGTCCAACATCTAGTTGGAGAGAATTTGTAATTTCCATATTCCTCCAATATCCCCTGTTGTATGATTTTTCCCTTTCCTCACTAAATAATTTAGTCCTAAATGCATTCAACATGTCAGGCAAGGCAGATCTGTTTTGTTATAGGTGGGGAAGCACTGGTCTGCCAAAGGGGTCAGAGCTCAGTAGGAAGAAGAGAGACCATGTGGGGGGCCAGTGGAACCAAGCACAATGAAGAAAATATCACCGTGGGGGTGGAAAAGTGTTCTGGCATGGACAACCAGATTGTTGATGGTGTTTACATGTGGCTTTGGCCTGTTGCTGAGTACCAGGCAATAGGAGGATTGAAGAGAATGCCTACTAGGAGAAGCCCGTGTAGACGCCATATTTTGAGACAGGAATGGGTACCTGTATTTCACGGTTGGTCAGATACAGTGTTTAAACTCAAGCAGGCTGAAGACCATATCCATGTCTAAAGTAATTTCTGTGGAGACTCAGTGGCCTGAACAGGAAAAGAAAAATCCCTTGTGGATCTCGTGGCAGATTTCAGCATCTGGGAGAGAAAGAAGGTAGCCATGCTTACTGTGGGTTAACAAGAAAGGGGATTTAAGCTATGACCAAGGTGAGGTGTGCATCCTCCCAAACCGTGGACCTGGTGTGAGTCAGGAGGGTGTTGATGCAGTGGAAAGTCC